CCTCCGAGATCACATTCAGAACTGAAGCCAAGCCCGGTGCCACAAGCAAGCAGTCAGAGGCAACATCCCTTTTTATTTGATAACAATCTGGACACGCCAAAATCCTCAAAATCAACCATAAATCTGACAACACTAAAACAAGCAGGAACCCCGCCTCCGATTAATATGAGTAGTACTCCACAAGCAAACAGCTTGGGGCTATCAAAGTACACAAGACGACTGCCAGCTGGTGGAGCTGAATCCCCTTTTGGTTTTCCACTGAAGGATGATGATAGCCTCACAAGCTGCCCCCCGTTCTCGGTTCCCAGTTACATGGCTCCAACCGTGTCAGCCAAAGCCAAAGCGCGAGCTGGTAGTAATCCCAGGGAGAGATTTGTGGGGACTCCAAGCAGTGAGTCCAAAAGAAGGCTCTCCTTCCCTTTGACACAAGGCATTGGGTCTTTCAAGTGGAACAAAGCTTCTTTTTTCTCTAATAATAAGGATTCCAGCTCTCAAAGGATTTTAGACAAGAACCCGCCCCTGCAGTCTCTAGGAAATTTGAGCATAGATTCCACGGTTTCTATGCCTGCAGGAGTTGGAAGGAAGCCATTTAATAGATTTGTGTGATTTATTTTCCTATACTTTTTAACCTTTTCTTCTATCCCCTACTGTGGTGTTTATTTTCCTTGATTGATTGTATGGTGATAGCTTTGAGTTGCAAAATACTGATGTATAATAAATATATTATATATAGGAACCGATTATGGTTTGGATATTATTTGATGCAACGGAATTTGGGTTTTGATATCATGACAATTTTGTTTTGTTTTTTCTTGTCTGGCTTTGCTTCAGTATCTTATGACTCTCTTTCTATGTAATAGCTCGCAAACACTTCAGATCCTCTGTACCTCTCTGTCTCGTAGTATCTCAAATTGTGGCAATATGTCTCTCATTTAAGGCAGAAAGTCACTTTTGTCCTTGTGGTTTATCACTTTTATTATTAAGGTCCCTGTGTATGTCTCTCATTTAAGGCAGAAAGTCACTTTTATCCTTGTGGTTTATCACTTTTATTATTAAGGTCCCTGTGTATGTCTCTCATTTAAGGCAGAAAGTCACTTTTATCCTTGTGGTTTATCACTTTTATTATTAACGTCCCTGTGATTTCAATTCGATCATTTTTACTCTAGTGGTTTCAATTTAACCAAATTTCAGATCTTTGTTAAATTATAGTAACGGATGTTAGAAGTTGAGGGGCATTTTGGTCCCAAATAAAAGGCTGGAAAGTTAGAAATAAGATCTGAAACTAAAAAGCGAAAAAACCAAAAACTTAGCACTAGCTGCCATGAGCCACGACGTTCCCCCATTACCTTACCCAACCCCGATATGCACCTAACAGGCCTTTGGCAGCAACCCCTCTCCTCTTCACTGCCAATCAAATCTCTCTCTCTCTCTCTCTCTCTCTCTACCCCTTTTGAAACCAACACTGGATCTGCAGCGGCAATCTTCAACTTTCAATCCTGGCCGACAAAGATCTAGACGACGCTGGCAGTAGCATCGCATTTCTCCTCCAAAATCCAAACCCCAACTCTTCAAATTCCTGATCCTGAACAGGGACCAGAGCTAGAAATCTAATTAAGTAGGTGGAAGTATTGAGATTGTAGTAATGGGGATATGAGCTGACCCGGGGGGAAGGGGCGGTGTGGGGGGTGGGGGGTGTGGTGGGGGGGTGTTTTGTGGGGTGTGGTTTATGTAGTGCATTTTGATCACTAGAGATTTTGCGGTAATTCTTAGGTAGTCGTATACACTAACTGTATATAGCCGAATCTGGCCGTTTATTTCATTTCAATTGAATCTAGCAGTTGTCATTTGATAACCGGATGCCCTAATATAGCTGAAAATATTACGAAAAAAAAAGGGAGTTTCACTAAAATACCCAAAATGGGGGCTGAAATTATAAAAATACCCAACACCCAAAACACTTTATAAACATACCCAAAACTCATCATTACACACACTCAAAACCCATTTATAAACATACCCAAAACCCATCATTACACACATACCCAAAACCCATTTTGGGTGTTTTGGGTATGTTTCTATGTTTACATAGTGCTTGGGTATTTTTATAAATACATGTCTAAAATTGGGTATTTTTATAAATATCCCAAAAAAAAACTCGTAAATAACGAGTTTCAGTAGAAGAAATCGATCCAAAACTCGCTCAATAGGAAAACCACAACTATCATACTCTGGGGATTCGTCGTAATTTCTCACAAATCTCGCAAACTAGTACTTTTGTGAGAGAGTACGACTTTAAGCAGCGATGAGAATGTGAAGTTATTTAATATTTATTAGAGTAATTCTGTTTAGTTGGAATAACCCTACGTTTTAGGGAAGTAGCTGAGGTTTGAACGTTTCTTTACGAAGATCTCTTGGTTTTAGGAGTTGTTGGTCACGTGATCGTGCAGCAGGTCATGGAGCCGTGCAAGTTTATTTTCTGTTTCCTCTCGGTAAATCTAGAAACTAACAATTGGTATCAGAGCTCCAAATTGGGGGCTAAAGAGCAAAGAAAAGTAGATTGCCGTGGCAAGTATCAATGTCGACTGAAGGAAGCAGCTTTGTTCAACCATTAATCCCACAGTTCGATGGTCACTATGACCATGGGAGCATGTTGATGGAGAATTTTTTGAGATCTAAAGAATACTGGAGTCTCGTGGAGAATGGAATCAAAACATATGCAGAAGGAATGACGTTGACAGAAGCTCAACTCAAAACCTTAGAGGATCAGAAGCTCAAAGACTTGAAGGCCAAGAATTACTTGTTTCAAGTCATTGATCGAGCTATTTTGGAGACAATTATGAAGAAAGATACGGCAAAGGATATTTGGGATTCCTTGAAGAAAAAGTATCAAGGCACGGCTAGAGTCAAACATGCACAATTGCAAGCTCTTAGCAAAGAGCTCCAGATGTTGCAAATAGAGAATGGAGAAGCAGTCACTAACTATTTTGCTCGAACATTGACTGTTGCAAACAAAATGAGGATACATGGAGATAGAATGGAAGATGTGACTGTGATTAAGAAGATTCTCAGGTATATGACATCTAAGTATGACTATGTTGTATGTTCGATTGAAGAGTCAAAAGATATTGATGCACTTTCAATTGATGAATTGCAAAGTAGTATGCTAGTGCATGAGCAAAAGATGACTTGTCATGATATTGAAGAGCAAGCTCTCAAGGTTAGTCATGAGAATTACACATTAGGAAGAGGAAGAGATCGAGGCAGATTCAGAGGTCATGGAAGAGGGAGAGGCCGTCAGGGTCCATTTGATAAGTCAACTGTGGAGTTCTACCATTGCCATGAACTTGGACACTTCCAATATGAGTGTCCTCAAAAGGAGAAGGAGAACAAAGCTAATGTGGCTGAGAAAGAGGAGGAGATGTTACTGATGGCAACTGTTGAAGAAAGAGATAACCAGAATTGCAACACGTGGTACTTGGACTTGTTGGCATAATACCATGGGTCCAGCCCATGATGGAAAAACATTCTTTCGGTGGTCAAAAGAGAAACCAACACAATGATGAAGCCAACATGATATGATGATGTCTTTAGCTAATGATGGTGTCTTTAGCCAATGATGGTGTCTCAAGCAAATGATGCTGCCATCCGTTGGAAGAAAAATCTAAAAGCTTCCAAACTTTTCCTTTCTCAAATATAAAAGGACATGCAAGTGTGTGCATGCGGAAGTAAGTGGTGTGTGTGATGTGCTGAAGAGTCAGAGAGAGTTGGAGAAGCCGAGAGGAAGAGAAGTGAGAGAACACCATTCCAAACAGCCATCAGTATTCCACTCCAATTCTGTGAGAGTGAGAGTTAATTGTGTTCCACTCTAAGTGTGTGAGTGAGGTAAAAACAGGAGAGTATAGTGTGGTGTCATTGTACTTTCTCTGTGTGTATCATCAAGCCCTGGGCATTGGCTTGGTAAGACCTTTCTTATTGTACCCATTATTTTGTTATAGTGGAAGAAATTTATATTGCTGCCCCGTGGACGTAGGCATTGCCGAACCACGTTAATTCCCGGTGTTCTTTATTTTTCTGCTTATACTGTTATTTGAGTTGTGGCGATTTCTATTCTAGCACTATCCGATCCTAACAAGTGGTATCAGAGCCGGAAGCAATTCCGTCGTGAATAGTGCTCGTGAACAGTGTTTGTGAATAGTGCTCGTGAATAGTGCTCGAGAACAGTGCCTGTGAATAGTGCAGAATGGAAGGAAGCTCTATGATCAAACTCAACAACTCCAATTGGGTGACCTGGAAACCAAGGATGGAGGATATTCTTTACTGCAAAGACCTACATGAACCAATTGAAGGTGCAAAGGCCAAGCCAGCAACAATGTCTGATGCCGAATGGACAAAGCTGAACCGTAAAGCTATCGGCAACATTAGACAATGGGTGGATGACAGCGTGTTTCACCATGTGTCTAATGAAACAGATGCGCACTCTCTTTGGGAGAAGCTTGAATCCTTGTTCGAGAAGAAGACCGCAGCCAAGAAAGCCTTCTTGATCAAGGAGCTCATCAATATGAAGTACAAGGACGGTTTGAGTGTGACGGAGCACCTGAACAACTTCCAGAATCTGGTCAACCAATTGGCAACTATGAAAATGACGATTGACACTGAGTGGCAAGCTTTTTTGCTGCTGGGTTCCTTGCCAGATAGTTGGGAAACCTTTGTGGTGACTGTAAGTAACTCTGCTCCCAATGGTGTTCTTACTATAGATAGTGTTAAAGATAGCATGTTTAATGAAGAAACAAGGAGAAAAGTTTCAGGCACCGAAAGCAGCCAGGTACATGTGACAGAAAACAGAGGAAGGAGCAAGAGTAGAGGACCAAGAGGTCGTGGAAAGAACCCAAGTCGCTCCAGATCAAGATTTAGAGGAAGCTGCCATCATTGCGGCAAAGAGGGCCATATGAAGAAGCATTGCCGTGCATGGAAGAGAGAGCAAAACGAAGGCCACAACCAAAGGAGAAATGAAGGAGAAAACCAAAAGAGAGAAGAAAGCAACAACACCACAGCAGTCCTAAGCGGAAATGAAACTGAAATTCTCTCTGTTGAAGAATGCCTAAACATGGGTCATCATGATCAAGGCACCGAATGGATTTTTGACAATGGCGCTTCGTTTCATGCCACTTCCGAAAGAGAGTTCTTCAGTACATACAAGGAAGGAGATTTTGGCATAGTAAAGATGGGAAATAATAGCTACTCCAAAATTCTTGGAATTGGTGATATCTGTCTCGAGACTAATCTTGGGTGCCAGTTGCTGCTGAAAGATGTGAGACACGTTTCAGAGCTGCGTCTCAATCTGATATCTGTTGGTGTTCTTGACCGACAAGGTTTTGAGCATTATATTGGCCAAGGAAAATTAAAGCTTACCAAGGGCTCTATGGTGATTGCTAGAGCAAATCTTTGTAGCACCTTATACAGGTCATATGCCAAAGTCTGCAAAAATGAGTTGAACCCAGTGGAGGACTCTTCACCAGAATTGTGGCACAAGAGGTTAGGCCACATGAGTGAGAAAGGCCTACAAGTTCTGGCAAAGAAGTCT